TCTAAGTCACTGTGTCACCTATCACCAAGGAGCGCTGCTGTGGATTTATTTCTGACAGTGCAGTTAAAACACGGGGAATATTAAAATCAAGGCCTCACCGCTGCCGTACGTCTGCGGTTCATCTGCCGTGGCAGCCATACTGGTCGACTCTGTGGGCGCCTGAGATCCACCGGTGTGAAAAGACGGATCCATGGTTTGACTCTCGGCGTAGCCATGTCCCTGTGAGGTGTTAAAGACACGAGTGATCGGTGACTTAGCTGTGACACGAGGTTTCTTTATCACTGCGTTCTGATTAAAAACCTACCTGGTTCACGCCCAGATCTGAGGACAGGTTGGTTCCACCCATTAACTGACCTGCAGACACAAGATTCAGTTATTATTATTATGCAAACAGTTGAGCGATGAGTTAAGCTGTAAAAAAAATATATAATAGACTGTGAACAGTCACCTGGTGTTACAGCAGGAGCAACAGGAGCAGCAGGTGGAGGGAGAGAATACTGCTGAGGTTGGGAGAACTGATGCAGCTGGAATGACAACAGAGAGAGAAAAAAAAAATCAGTTTACCTAAAAAATCTGTTCCGTTTCTCTAGATGATTCTGGATCAAATCTCACTGAAGGTTGAAAACTCACCCCCACCATGCTGGGCTCAGGTGGACACCCAAGAATAGACGTGTTAGGCTTGTCAAAATCTCTCCTTAAACTGAAACAAGGAGAAAATGATGTTAAGAGACAGAAACATTCTGTACCACAGATGAGACAAACTTTGAACTTTGACATTTCAACACTCACTTCTGGTTTTTCAGGGGTTTTGCAACCTCGGCGTAAACTCTGACTCCATCGACGTAGAGCGGTCTGGGTTTGGTGAGCAGCTCAACCAGACGTGTCACTTGCTGCAACAGACCACATTTCTGTTAGTGCTGAGGCAACGCTGCACAAAAAGACTATCATCTCTCTGCAACATCATTGAAATTCAGTGCCATAACGGGTTCCACGTACGAACCTCGTGTGAATCCATATCCACGAAGCAGAAGCACTTGGCTCCAGGTGTCTTGCCCTTGACTAGACGCACATTTCTTTCATCCAGGTAGGCGTAGGGATCCAAGGCCTTGAGGATGGTCTCTACTGTGGTGGTGGCCTTCACGTTCTTTATAATCATAGCTGCACAGTGACAGAATTGACAATACTTTTCAGTCGTTTCAGTCATATGTTACACTAAATAGTTGCTAAAGCTAAAAAAAATAAAAAAAATAAATCACAGAACACCAGAATGTTTGCTCCATGTACTTTTACTGTCTTTAAAGACTGATCCAGTGTGAAGGGGGTTTTGAGGAGGATGGCCGTGGCCTCCCCAGGACTCTCCCTGCTGCTCCCTGTCTTGCTGCTGCTGTTGCTGCTGCTG